AGACAGACAGCTGATAGTAGATAGATAGATACATGATAGACAGAAATAGAAATATTTAGATATAGATATAGATATAACTATATAGATATATTGGCTGATTTAGACTAAATTGGAATATCAGTGATGGCATGACCTCCGCAGATGCTCTACGCTCAATAAAATACATTCCTTCTTTCCTGCCTGCAGGTTCTTAGCCTCCGCTCTCCAAGGTGGATCGTCCCTGAGGGGGAAGGTCTTTCCGGGGGGAGAGGTTGTGGGGGGGGGCGATGACTTACTTTAATGAGTCAGAAGTGTCGCCAGCCACCACCGATTAACCGCCTGCTCCCCCTCCCCAGATACGGACGAGTGCAGCAGCACGCCCGGCGTGTGCAACGGGGGCGAGTGTACGAACACGGTCGGGAGCTACGTCTGCGCCTGCCCACGAGGGTTCATGACCAGCCCAGATGGATCCCGTTGTGTGGGTAAGCGCGACACTAATACCGCCTGGGTGGGCCCCGCTTTTCCAAGTGACAAGGAGTCCCAAAGGTACAAAGGGCAGGGAGTCCTTTCCCTTACAACCGCTTGAAGTTACCACGGCCCTGAAAAAAAAGTGATTTAGGTTCGTTTTTCACACATACGACCACTGCGGCATTCCCGTGGCCACGTAACTGAAATTTGGACGCTTGGCAACTGACTCTGTTCTCTCCCCGTCCCACACACGTACCCCCACAGATGGCCCGGAGTTAATAAGCCACACGACAAAATCTTTGAAGATAAAGCTGGCAGCAACCCAGTGGCTAGCTGCCAATTCAGACTCTACTCACACAAAACAAAGATTAGACTGCAAGCATTCCGATAAAGCAGGCAAAGTTTCAGCAATACAAGGATTAGTCCAAATGCAGTCCGACGAGGCAGGCAGAAGTCCAGTAACGCAGAGATCATGGATTATTTCTAGTTTTTGCTCATCACAAACTGAACCGGACACCACACCCACATTTATACCCTGTGGGGTGTGGTCCAGTGACTCAGCTAATCTCTGGCACGCCTTCCCCTCTGCTGCACACCCTTCTCCCTGCGCCTCTGCTGAAGGTCCAGCCAGCACTTATCTCCTTTGTCGCTGTCCACCTGTGGCTGCGGGGACGTGCTTGGCTCTGGGCCTATCTTTTGGCCTTCGGTGTCCTCCAGAGGCATTGCCAGAGAGGAGGGTCCTGGAGAGGGAGGCCTTGCCAACTCCTCTCCCTCACTCTCAGAGTCTGCATCTGTCGATAGCCCAGGCTCAGGCAACGGAGCCACAACAGACTCACAATTATGACGGTTGCAGTGTCCCGGGGTGTGTGTGTGTGTCACACGATCCCCTTTTTGCAATCTTCTGATGAGCAACGTCGATGAGGAAGCCGGATTCACTTAACAACCGGGTTACTAAGTTAAAAACTGCAGGGATTCACTTAACATCTCTGGCAAGGAAGGTCGTAAAAACGGGGCAAAACTCAACTTAATGAGGGTCTCCCTTAGCAACGGAGGTTGTGGTTGTAAGTCGAGAATTACCTATACGCTCTTGGCAGGCAGTCCTCGCTATGAGTATGATGGTTGCTAGCCAGAGCCGGTTTGGGTAGGGGCCAGGAGATTTTTGCTTGGTTTCTTGGCCTGGGGTCGGGTGGGGGGCACTGCTCATGGTCAGTCAATGCCTTGGTCACTTCCTGAGTGGATTGCTGCAATCCACTCTATGTGGGGCTGCCCTAGGAAGCCAACCGGTAGCTTCAGCTGGCCCAGAACGTCCTGGTAGGAGCAGTTGGGAACGCCTGTCAGCTTACCCATCTAACACCTTTGTCATACCATACAGGTAGTCTCGTTTAATGACTGCCCTGTTTAGTCACCATTCAAGCTTGCTTGCTTCCTCTCTCCCTCCCTCCTTCCTTCCTCCCTCTTTCACTTTTTCCTTCCTTCCGTTCTTCCTCCCTCTCTCCTCCCTCTTTCACTTTTTCCTTCTTTCCCCCCTCCCTCCCTATTTCCTCTCACTTTGTCCTTCCTTCCTTTCCTCCCTCCCCCCCTCCCCTCTCTCTCTCCTCTCACTTTTTCCTTCCTTCCCTTTCCTTCCTTCCTTCCATCCTCCCTCCCTCCCTCTTTCCTCTCACTTTATCCTTCCCTCCGTTCTTCCTCCCTCTCTCCTCCCTCTTTCACTTTTTCCTTCCATCCTCCCTCCCTCCCTCTTTCCTCTCATTTTGTCCTTCCTTCTTTCCTTCCCTTTCCTTCCATCCTCCCTCCCTCCCTCTTTCCTCTCACTTTATCCTTCCCTCCGTTCTTCCTCCCTCTCTCCTCCCTCTTTCACTTTTTCCTTCTTTCCTTCCGTCCTTCCTTCTTTGTTCTATTTCCAAAACGCAGCCCTGAGCTTGGAGAAACAGCCATCCCTGCAGCAGGGAGTTAACTATCTGGGGTTAACAGCTATTTTCTCTACTGAATTCTCACATTTTTGTCAGCCAAAGTGCTCCTAACGAAAAGAAGGACCAGGGGTGACATGAGGGCAATCTTCCAATATCTCAGGGGCTGCCCCAAAGAAGAGGGAGTCAAGCTATTCTCCAAAGCCCCTGAAGGCAGGACAAGAAGCAACGGGTGGAAACTAATCAAGGAGAGAAGCAACCTAGAACTAAGGAGAAATTTTCCTGACAGTGAGAACAATTAATCAGTGGAACTGCTTGCCACCAGAAGTTGTGGGTGCTCAACACTGGAGGTTTTTAAGAAGAGACTGGCCAGCTCTTTGCCTGAAATGGTATAGAGTTTCCTACTTGAGCAGGGGGTTGGACTAGAAGACCTCCAGAGTCCTTTCCAACTCTGTTATTCTGTTCAGTTCGGTTCTAATATTGCAGAAGGAGCCAAGTTTTTTGGGGAGAGGGGGAGAGTGCCTCAGTTAATCCTTTGCAAATGAAGCTTCTGGGGGAAAATCTGGAATGCAGGCTTGGCTCAATGCCTTCTCTGTCTCCCGCCCCCTTGTCCTAACCAGAAAATTCCTTTTCTAATGACTTCCTCGCTTGCTTTGTAATTTTTTCTGGCTGGGCTGCCAGGAATCGCTTCCCGCCTTTTCCTTGCAGCTGCTCCCAAGGACCATAGGCCAGTCTAAAATCCAGTGCCTTATGGGTCTGGATCCCAGCGTGGAGACCCTCCCTCTTCCCTCCCCCAACCAGCCAGAGGTGAACAAAGTACCCCACTGAGATTGAGCAAAATATCTTTTTTGAGAGGGAGACAGAAGCCAACATCTGCCAAAGTTCGAGTCTTTGCAGGCTGCTTAAAACCATAAATTTATTTAGTTAGTGCATGGCGTAACAGGCATGGATTTACAACAGACATTACCATTTCGCCTAGATTAAAAACACAGTAAAATATGAATTAACAGGTTAAAAGGATCTATGTTCGGATACCAATGTCTAGGCCAGTGATGGCTAACCTCTTTGCCATCGCGGGCCAAAAGTGGGGGGAGCGGGGGGTGTTGCGTGCATGCGTGCCTACACCCATCATTCTATGCACCCCACCCTCCCGCGCGTGCATGTGTGACCCCCCGCGCTCCCCACCGCTTTGGCACGCGATGGCACGGTGGGCCCGATAGGCCCATTTTTCACCCTCCCCAGGCTCCAGGGCCTTTCTAGGAGTCTGAGGAGGGCAAAAACAGCCTTCCCCACCTCCCCCACCCCCGGACGCCTTCCAGAGGCAGGAAACACTCTGTTTCCCTACTTCCGGTGGGCCCAGAAGGCTCGAAAATCAGCTGGCCGGTGCCCGCCAGCTGATTTTCCCTGGACTGGTACAGGCACTCAGCCAGTTGTGTTGTAGTCTACAATTTGTCGTGCGACTCTGCAGCCACACTGAGGGGTGGATGCTGTACCCCACTTACTCAATGAATTCCAGCAGAATTGAGTGGTGAGGGGCTCATTAAAGGCTTGTCAGAAGTAAAAGAAGGGAAGGCAAAGTGGGCTGGTTTGATCCTGATTAAAATAAGACATGTTTTTATACAAGGCTCCGCTAACTCTTTAGAGTGAGAGGAAAAAAAAGAAAGAGAGAAGACGGGAGAAAAAGAGAGAGACAGAGAAACAGAAGGAGAGAAAGAGGGAGAAAGAGAGAGAAAGAAAGAAAGACATAAAGAGAGACAAAAAGACAGAGAAAGAGAAAGAACGAGAGAGGAGACAGAGAGACAGAAGGAAGGAAAGAAGAAGGAAAGAGAAAGAAAGAAAGAAAGAAAGAAAGAAAGAAAGAAAGAAAGAGAGAGAGAGACAGACAGACAGACAGACAAACAAACAGAGAGACCAAAAGAGAAAAAGACAGAAAAGACAGGAGAGAAAGGGGGGGCGAGAGAGAGACAAAAAGAGAGAGAAAGAGAAAGGAGACAGAGACAGAAGGAGAGAAAAGAGAGAGAGAGAGAGAGAGAGAGACAGAGACAGACAGAAAGAGAGAGAGAGAAAGAGAGAGAAGAGAGAGAACAAGAGAGAGAGAGAGAGATAAAAAAGAGAAAAAGAAAAAGAGAACGAGAACGAGAGAGAACGAGACAGACAGAGAGAGACAGAGAAAGAGAGAGAGACTGAAAGAGAGACCAAAAGAGAAAGAGACAGAAGAGATAGAAGGAGAGAAAGGGGGGGAGAGAGAGAGACAAAAAGAGAGAGAAAGAGAAAGGAGACAGACAGAAAGAAAGAGAACAAGAGAGAGAGAGAGAGAGAGATAAAAAGAGAAAGGAAAATAGAAAGAGAGAGAAAGAGTAAAAGAGAGAGAAAAAGAAAAAAAAGATAAATTTCTACTCTGAATGGGAATGAAGAATGAGCACAGCTAATAGAAAAACCCAGCACACATGTTGCTGTTCAGCCCCGTTGGGGAAAAAACCTTTGCCAGCCTTGTTTGCAAAAGAGAAGCTGCCCCGAGTTCAAATCTCACGGGCAGGCTGGAAAGGGCCAGAGGTGAAGACTGGGAAAGGATCCCTCTTTCTTTCTTTCTTTCTTTCTTTCTTTCTTTCTTTCTTTCTTTCTTTCTTTCTTTCTTTCTTCCTTTCTTTCTTTCTTTCTCTTTCCTCTCTCTCCTTCTCTGTTTCCCTTTCCCAATTTCTTTCTCTCTCATTCTCTCTTTCTCTGTCTCGCTTTGTCTGAGCAAAGGAGCAGAGCGAGGAAGAATTACGATCTCGGAGCAAGGATGGGGTGGGGGCAGATCGTTTAAGCATCTGGACCCTGAAAATCTTCTCCCGGCTGCCAAAACGTTCAGCAACACCAGGCAGATTTAATTAGGCTAGCCAGGTTTTAAAAAATAACCAAACGCCTCCCCCAAGGAGGCCTTGGCGTGGCCAGCCAGACTACGTCATGCCACCGGCCGTTTCCCCGGAGCGAACATGTGCCATAAATGTGCCGTCACTCGCTGTGATGGACAATATTTTTTCTGGCCAAACTTGAAAAACTTTCTTCGAGTTACGTTTCTCCTCCTGAAAGGGTCTTTTGTTCCCTCGGATAGCGGAGCACCTGGGGGGAACCTCCGAGCATCCTTTAACTTTGCGGGGCTAAAGATATTTTTGTGGTCCTGATTAGGAGCCGGAGGCCTCCTGGGAATAGTTTGAAATAGTCATTTTTTCCAACAGGAGCGGAGCCTTTGCTGATAGACCTCGGGTGATTTTCGCCCATTACATGTAAGAAATCATATAAAGGAACTATTTAAATGTGGAGAAACAGCTGCTGGGAGCTTATACCCCACTCTACCTGTTTCTTAATAGACTAGACTAGACTAGACTAGACTAGACTAGACTAGACTAGACTAGACTAGACTAGACTAGAATAGAATAGAATAGAATAGAATAGAATAGAATAGAATAACAGAGTTGGAAGGGACCTTGGAGGTCTTCTAGTCTAACCCCCTGCTCAGGCAGGAAACTCTATACCACTTCAAACAAATAGTTGTCCAATCTCTTCTTAAAAACTTCCAGTGTTGGAGCATTCACAAGTTCTGCAGGCAAGTTGTTCCACTGATTCATTGTTCTCACTGTCAGGAAATTTCTCCTTAGTTCTAAGTTGCTTCTCTCCTTGATCAGTTTCCACCCATTGCTTCTTTTTATAGTCTGGTGATCAAAACTGGATGCAGTACTCTAGGTGTGGCCTTACTAAGGCTTTATAGAGTGGTCTTAGTTCCTCCCTTGATCTTGATTGTATCCCTCTGATAATGCAATTTAGGATTGCGTGGGCTTTTCTGGCTGCCGCTGCACACAACTGGCTCCTATTTAGCTGGTTGTCCACTAAGACTCCCAGATCCCTCTCACAGTCACTGCTATTAAGCCCGGTTTCACCCAGTCTCTATGTGTCCTTTTGGTTTTTCTTGCCCAAGTGTAAGACTTGACTTTTCTCTACATTGAGTTTCATTTTGTTAGGTAGGGCCCAGGATTCAACTCTGCCAAGATCCATCTGGATCTTGAGCCTATCTCCTAGGGTGTTAGCTATTCGGGGTTCTTCCCCATGGACTATTTTGGGAAAAAACCCACAAAGCTATTTTATTTTATTTTATTTTATTATTTTATTTTATTTTATTTTATTTTACTTTACTTTACTTTACTTTACTTTACTTTACTTTATTTTACTTTACTTTATTTTATTTTATTTTATTTTATTTTATTTTATTTTATTTTATTTTATTTATTTATTTTAAATTTATATACCACCCTTCTCCCTGAGGACTCAGGGCAGTGTACAGCCAGAATTAAAATTTTATTTTATTTTACTTTATTTTATTATTTCATTTCATTTCATTATTTTGTTTTGTTTTGTTTTGTTTTACTTTATTTTATTTTATTATTTTATTTCATTTCATTTCATTTTATTATTTCATTCTATTTATTTTATTATTTTATTTTATTTAGTTAGTTTTATTTTATTGAGCCCACTATGTCACTCATTACAGCTTTCCAACCAGATGATTTTTTTCCTCAGCGCTTAATGGGAAATAAAGTCTCAATGTCTCCATATTACGAGGGGGCCACTGAGGCAGACCTCGACTCATACAACCATTCGTTTAGTGACCATTCAAAGTTACAACGGCATTAAAAGGGGGGGGGGCTGATGACTGTTTTTCACACTTGCGACCGTCGCAGCATTCCTGGGGGTCACGTGATCAGCATTTTGGATGCTTGGCAACTGACTCGTATTTATGACGGTTGCAGTGTCCCGGGGTTGTGCGATGCCCTTTTTGCAACCTTCTGACAAGCCAAATCCAAGGAGGAAGCCAGATTCACTTAACAACCATGTTACCAACTTAACAACCGCAGTGATTCACATAACGACGGTGGCAAGAAAGGTCGTAAAATGGGATAAAACTCATTGTCTTACTTAGCAATGGAAATTGAGGTTGTGTTGTGGCCCGCCAGCGGCCTGCGTGGATTGTTGCTGATTCCGACGACGAGGAGGCTGGTATGGTGCTGCGCCAGGCGCTCAAGTCGGACAGTGAGGAGGCTGGAGAAGATGTGGTGCCAGAGGCAGGGATACAGCCAGGGCCTTCAGAACCTCCAGAAACTGCTTTAAATCACTGGGCCTGGTGGCTCAGCAGACTAAAAGCATTGTGATTAACACCAGCTGCCTGCAATTACTGCAGGTTCGAATCTCGCCAAGGCTCAAGGTTGACTCAGCCTTCCATCCTTTCTAAGGTAGGTAAATTGAGGACCCAGATTGTGGGGGCAATAAGCTGACTTTGTATAAATATACAAAAGGATGAAGGCTATTGCTTAACGCATTGTAAGCCGCCCTGAGTCTCCGGAGAAGGGCGGCATATAAATCAAATTTAAAAAAAAAAAAAAAAGTGAAGAGGATGAAGTGGAGGAGCCTCTTCTCAATGCACGGGCGCGCAGAGTGGCTCCTCAGGAGGAGGTCTCCTCGAGAGTAAGGCTTGGGGCTCATTGGCCACTCCCTTAGCCTATTTAAGTTTGCACACAGCTTGTAAAAGTTGCAGGAAACAACGCCATATTCGCTCGATGATCATTGAACCTGGATTTTCTTTGCAAACCTTGCTCCTGGCCTTTTTGCCAACTCTCGTAAGACTTTATCTTGCTGTGGAATTTCTGGCAGGTTGGTAAGGACGTTTTAGTTAACAGCCTGCATTTGTAAAAAAACTACGTTTGGAAGTAAATTGAGTTTGGTTCATAGTTTGTGTGTGCTGCATTCTCTGGGATCCGTAGCTGGGGCAGAACAGGTTGTAAGTCAAAGATTACCAATACTCTGTAAATACCCCTCAAAAAATCACATGGGAATTCGGGCCCATCAAACAAAGATCTCTCCATCCCGGCCTGCTGCTATAACCTAAAGCGCCCCCCCCAGGAGTCTCCATGCCCCCCCCCACCCCATCGTAGCAGGAGGGGGGACCCTGCGATCCTATGCTTTCAATTTCACCTCCATGCTGCTTGAGGAAATCCCCTAACAGCAGGCTGTCTGGGTTATGTTGGACTTCATTTCCCATCTTCCCCAGCCAGCATGGCGAATGCAACGGGTTTATTGGGTGATTGATTGACTGATTGATTGATGAGATTCAAAGTTACATCACTGAAAAAAAAGGATATGACCGTTTTTTTCACAATTACGACGGTAAGTCACATTGATTCAATGCAAACGCTTGGCAACGGACTCGTATTTATGACGGTTGCAGTGTCCTGGAACTCATGTGATTTCCCCCTTCCTCAACCTTCCGACAAGCCAGTTCACTTAACAACCATGTCACTCACTGAATGACGGCAGCGGTTCCCTTAACGGTGGCAAGCCAAGTCGTAGAACGGGTCGAAGCTCCCTTAACAAAGGTCTCACTTAGCAACATCAATTTGGGGCACCATTGAGGCCGTAAATTGAGGACTACCTGTAAATCACCACCACCCCCGGCCATTTCCTGCCTCACCTCTGTCTCTCTTCTGCCCGCAGACCAGCGGATTGGCACTTGCTTCTCGGCACTGATCGGTGGACGGTGCGCAGGGGAGCTTCCTGGCCAGTACACCAAGATGCAATGTTGTTGTGACTCCGGGCGCTGTTGGGCCATTGCACAAACTCCCGAGATGTGCCCCGTACGGGGATCAGGTGAGTAATTTGTCTAAGACTCTCTGGGGGGGGGGGACTCAGGGCAACATCATGCTCCAGAGGGGCCTGGAGGCTAAAACTTACGATGAACGGTTGCAGGAATTGGGTATATCTAGTTAGATGAAACGTGGGACGCGGTGGCTCAGTGGCTAAAACGCTGAGCTTGTCGATCGAAAGGTCGGCAGCTCAGCGGTTCGAATCCCTAGAGCCGCGTAACGGGGTGAGCTCCCGTTACTTGTCCCAGCTTCTGCCAACCTAGCAGTTTGAAAGCACGTAAAAAATGCAAGTAGAAAAATAGGGACCACCTTTGATGGGGAAGGGAGCAGCGTTCCGTGCGCCTTTGGCGTTGAGTCATGCCGGCCACATGACCACGGAGACGTCTCCGGACAGCGCTGGCTCTTCGGCTTTGAAACGGAGATGAGCAGCACCCCCTAGAGTCAGGAACGACTAGCACATATATGCAAGGGGAACCTTTACCTACTTCGGATGAAAAGAAGGACCAAGCGGGACATGATAGCATCTTCCAACATTTATACAGATGCAGATTAACAGAGGGGGAAGGGACCTTGTAGGTCATCTAGGTAAATCCCCCACTCATTTGAGGGATTGCCCCAGGGAGGAAGGGGTCCACCTATTCTCCACAGTATTGAATAATCACATTTTTCCTAATGAAAATAAGGACTAGGGAAGACATGATAGCAGTCTTCCAATATCTGAAGGGCTGCCCCAAAGAGGAGGGGATCAAGCTATTCTCCAAAGCACCTGAAGGCAGGAAAAGAAGCAATGGGTGGAAACTGATCAAGGAGAGAAGCAACCTGGAACTGAGGAGAAATGTTCCGACAGTGAGGACAATTAACCAGTGGAACTGCTTGCCACCAGAAGTTGTGGGTGCTCCATCACTGGAGGTTTTTAAGAAGAGATTGGACAATCACTTGTCTGAAATGGGGTAGGGTTTCCTGCCTGAGCAGGGGGTTGGACTAGAAGACCTCCAAGGTCCCTTCCACCTCTGTCATTCTGTTTTATCACACCAGCAATGGATTATAAATACATTCGAAACAGGCTCACCATTCCCCGTCCCTTCTGTTGCTAGGTTTTCAGTGAGTTTTGAATTCTCACGCTCATGATCCCCAGCTAGCATTTAACCAGGGATGGATTGTGGGTGTTTATGGATTATGGGATCTGTAGTGGCTCTGGAGGGCGATGCGGGGAGGCATACTGAGGATCAGTAGTGGGTATCAAATCCTGGCACTACCAGTTTGCTGTCGGTAGTGTGCAGTGCTACTGCGCACGCGCAGAGTGTTTTTGATGACGTCTGGGCAGTTTCCACAATTCCTGGAGGAAACATCCTATCTAGATCCGTTCCAGTCGGGTTTCAGGTCTGGGCACAGCACAGAAACGGCATTGGTCGCGTTGGTGGATGATCTCTGGAGGGCTCGGGACAGGGGTTGCTCCTCTGTCCTGGTCCTGTTAGATCTCTCAGCGGCTTTTGATACCATCGACCATGGTATCATGCTGCGGCGGTTAAGAGGGTTAGGAATAGGGGGCACCGTTCTGCGGTGGTTCTCCTCCTTTCTCTCTGACCGGTTGCAGTTCGTGTTGGCAGGGGGGCAGAGGTCGACCTCGAGGCCTCTCGTCTGTGGAGTGCCGCAGGGATCGGTCCTCTCGCCCCTTCTGTTCAACATTTATGTGAAGCCGCTGGGTGAGATCATCCATGGTTTCAGGGTGAAGTTCCATCAGTACGCTGATGACACCCAGCTGTACATCTCCACCCCGGACCACCCCAACGATGCCCTTGAAGTGATGTCCCAGTGCCTGGAGGCTGTGCGGATCTGGATGGGGAGGAACAGGCTCAGGCTCAACCCTTCCAAGACAGAGTGGCTGTGGCTCCCGGCATCCCGATATAGTCAGTTGACTCCATCACTGACTATTGGGGGCGAGTCTTTGGCCCCCACTGAAAGGGCTCGCAATCTGGGAGTCCTCCTGGATAGGCAGCTGTCCTTGGAGGAACATCTGACAGCTGTAACTAGGGGGACCTTTTGTCAGGTTCGCCTGATTCGCCAGTTGCGGCCCTTTCTTGATCGGGATTCCCTGTGCACAGTCACTCATGCCCTCGTCACCTCTCACCTGGACTACTGCAACGCTCTCTACATGGGGCTCCCCTTGAAGAGCACCCGGAGGCTCCAACTGGTCCAGAACGCAGCAGCACGGGTAGTGACGGGAGCAAGATGGCGCTCCCATGTAACACCGCTCCTGCGCGAGCTGCACTGGCTCCCAGTGGTCTTCCGGGTGCACTTCAAGGTGTTGGTTGTCACCTTTAAAGCGCTCCATGGCATCGGGCCTAGCTATCTTCGAGACCGCCTGCTGCCACCAACGACCTCCCATCGACCCGTGCGCTCCCACAGAGAGGGCCTCCTTGGGGTGCCATCAGCCAATCAATGTAGGCTGGTGACCCCCAGGGGGAGGGCCTTCTCTGTGGGGGCACCTACCCTCTGGAATCAGTTGCCCCCAGAGATAAGGAGAATCCAAGACCTCGGTGCCTTCCTCCGTGCCCTTAAAACCCACTTTTTCCAGCAAGCCGGGCTGGCTTAAGAAGAAATTTTAAATGTTTTAATTGGTTTGTATTTTTAATCTTGGGCCAAATTTATATATATTTTAATTATTTTTTAATATTTGTATTCCATGTTTTTTAATTCTGGCTGTACACCGCCCTGAGTCCTCAGGGAGAAGGGCGGTATATAAATTTTTTTTTTTTAAAAAAATACAGTCTTACTAGAGTTGGCAGAAAGCCCAGAAGCAGTTTTGCAGACACGAAGGAGAGTGAACTAAAGTTGTTCTCTACAGCTTGTTGCAAGTGGCGTTCTTTCTTAAATAGGCTAAGGGAGTGGCCAATTAGCCCCAAGCCTTACTCTCGAGGAGACCTCCTCCTGAGGAGCCACTCCGGCCTTTTGGCAGCTCTGCACACCCGTGCATCGAGAAGAGGCTCCTCCTCTTTGTCCTCTTCACTTATGGGAGCTTCTGGAGGTTCTGAAGGCCCTGGCTGAGTCCCTGCCTCTGGCACCACATCTTCTCCAGCCTCCTCACTGTCTGACTCGAGCTCCAGCTGCACAGGCTGCTGGCGCAGCACAACACCAGCCTCCTCGCTGTCGGAATCAGCTACAATCTGCACAGGCCGCTGACGGGCCACAACAAAACCACTTAGATCAATTGGCATCCATTTGGCAGGGAGTTTTATAATCCCCCTTAACTTTCTCAATCAATAATCAGGAATATGATGGGTCTTTATTTCTCGCAGATGAATACCGTTGGTTATGCATCGAAGGACTTCCCGTCGTTCCAGGCTTCCCTGGCACCTTTCCGGGCCTTCCCAGCTTCGGTCCCAATGGAGTTGGGCCGGGGATAAGTGGTCCTGGAGGATTTGGACCCAACGGAGCCAACGGACAAGGGGGCATCCCTGGATTGCCAGGGACGGGCCCCGGGAGTTCTAGCATCGGTGAGAGAGAGCGCCTTGTTGAAAAAATAGAAACAAAGAGGGGGTTAAAATCTGGGTTTCCGTGCCCGGCGGGTACCAGCTGAAGTCTTTGGCTGTCAGGCAACCCTCAAAACTTTTCACGAGTTGCACCCCAAATTGGCATCTTTGACCCAGGTTGCAAGAACAGAGTCCAGGGTCCAGAATGCCCAAATGCCATCTGGTTAAATCGTCCTGCATGCCCTCCAGATGGGGAACGCAAACCAAGTTTCGTCAGTGAACGGGGTCCAAAGGAGGAGGAGAAGGAGGCAAATTGAGGAGTTCTTCAGAGGGGGTGCAAAATTTGTCTGGGATTTTGGGGGACATCCCCCCCCTTTCCTGGGATGTTCCTCTGAACAAGGAATGCTTCCCGTAGAGCAGCGTTTCGCAACCTGGAGCAGTTTCCGAGCGGTGCTCCAGATAGAGACATAGAAAGTCATGGAGTCCTTTGCAGATTGGTGTCTTCCCAAAAACTCTGCCCTGTTCAGGTCACTCCCCAAACCCTATAGATTTCTGACACACACACACACACACACACACACACACACACACACACACACACAAACAGTGGACCCCAATCCGTCAAGAGGTTGCATCCCAAGCTGCCCTCCGCTCGTCCGTCTTCTGCCCTTCGATGGTGGCACATCCTGGCAGACCGGATGGTGACGGCATCTTCTCCAGTTTTGGGGGGTTCCAGAAAGGGGTGTCTCTTCTACTGACTGGCATATCTGCCAGGGCCTGCCTTGCCTTTTGGGGTACCACCCCCACCCCCCACCCCACACACACAGGAGACAAGACACTAGGATATCATGGGATGGGCAGGGACATTCATCGGAGAAATGATTCCTCCCCCCCCCCGGTTCGATTTAACTTTTGTTAAATCGTGAAAGATAGATAGATGGGTAAGTAGGTAGGTAGGTAGGTAGATAGATGATAGATAGGTAGATAGATAGATGATAGATAGACAGACAGACAGAGAGTAGATAGATAGATAGATAGATAGATAGATAGATAGATAGATAGATAGATAGATGTACACCGCCCTGAGTCCTTCGGGAGAAGGGCGGTATAGAAATAAAATTATTATTATTATTATTATTATTATTATTATTATTATTATTATTATTATTATTATTTATTGGTTAATCTTTAGTGAGATTCACAGCCTTTGAGGCTGGTTAATAGCTCAGCAGCTCGAGTCCTAACCAAGGACCTAGGAACTGTTAAGGTATCGTCGGAGGATGTAAGCTGTTCCGAGTAAGGTGGTTTTTTGTAGAGTCAAAATCTTCAAGTCCGGCAAATTTAGAATTTCTAAATAGCGGGGTAGCCCTTTGGATATTGCTCCAAGGGCTCCAATTACAATCGGGACAACACATGATTTCTTTTTCCACAGTCGCTCAACTTCAATTTGCAAGTCCCGGTACTTTGTGATTTTTTTCTTGCTGCTTATCTTCAATTCGTGCATCACCAGGTATTGCAATGTCTATTATTATTATTATTATTATTATTATTATTATTATTATTATTATTATTATTATTTTCTAAAACTAGCTAATAACACCACTTTTTTTTTTTTATTTATTTTGAGTAGTACCATAAAATTATATGTCAATGGAAAGATAATTGAATCAGGGATGTAATGCAATAGCTTTTAGGAAGGATTTGCTATTAGAATAGCAGTTATAGTATAAAGAAGAAAAGTGAAACACGTAGAAAAAACGAGGATCTGCAAAAATTATCACCATAGAAAAAAAAACGAGATATACAAAAATGATCCCCATGTCAGTTAATCCTTAGTTGGGTAACCTTTTAGCATAAATGACGGCCTTACAACGTCTTCCCATGGAGTGAACCAAGTCTTTGAGTTCTGCAGCTGTTCTAATGTGAAACCGAGATTGAAGGATGGCTTCTATTAACTGGGTTTTATTGCTGGGTCGCTTCTGACTAACCAGTTTCTTTAGTCGGTGTTAACCTCAAAAATACAACTTTTCCCAAAAGGCTTCCACAATTTTGGCCATGGCTGTACAATAGTTCATTTAGTGGCCATTCAAAGTTATAACGGCACTGAAAAAGGTGACTTGGGACCATTTTTCACACTTACGACCGTCGTAGCATCCCATGCTCACGTGATTTACATTCGGATGCTTGGCAACTGACTCACAGTTATGACGGTGGTGGCGTCCCGGGTTACATGATCCCCTTTTGCGACCTACTGACGAGCGAAGTCAAGGGGGAAACCCCGATTCGCTTAACAACCGTATTACAAACTGAACAAGTGCAGTGATATTCCGTTAACCACCACGGCAAGAAAGGTTGCAAAATGAGCCAAAACGCACTTCACAATTCTTGCTTAACAACCGTGACACTAATTTAACGACGGCAGCAATTCACTGAACAAATGTGGTAAGTCGTAAAACAGGGCAAAACTCATTTAGCCTACTCCAGGGGAAGGATACTGCAAAATCCCCATTCCCACCCCACTCCAGGGGAAAGATACTACAAAATCCCCATTCCCACCCCACTCCTGGGGGAAGGATACTGCAAAATCCCCCTCCCCTCCCCACTCCAGGGGAAGGATACTGCAAAATCCCCATCCCCTCCCCACTCCAGGGGGAAGGATACTGAAAAATCCCCATTCCCTCCCCACTCCAGGGGAAGGATACTGCAAAATCCCCATTCCCTCCCCACTCTTGGGAAAGGATACTGCAAAATCCCCATTCCCATTCCACTCCTGGGGGAAGGATACTGCAAAATCCCCATTCCCTCCCCACTCCAGGGGAAGGATACTGCAAAATCCCCATTCCCTCCCCACTCCTGGGGAAAGGATACTGCAAAATCCCCATTCCCTCCCCACTCCTGGGGGAAGGATACTGCAAAATCCCCATTCCCATTCCACTCCTGGGGGAAGGATACTGCAAAATCCCCATTCCCTCCCCACTCCAGGGGAAGGATACTGCAAAATCCCCATTCCCTCACCACTCCAGGGGAAGGATACTGCAAAATCCCCATTCCCTGCCACTCGGGGGAAGGATACTGCAAAATCCCCATTCCCTCCCCACTCCAGGGGAAGGATATTGCAAAATCCCCATTCCCACCCCACTCTGGGGCCAGCTAGAGATGGTATTTGCCGGTTCTCTGAACTACTCAAAATTTCCGCTCCTGGTTCTCCAGAACCTGTCAGAACCTGCTGAATAGCACCCCTGCTCCCTTCTGATGCTCCTGGGACGTTTCCAAGATTTTTGGAAACCTTCAAGAAAGAATGGTTGTTTTGCTTCTGTCCCCACTACCAGCTGGATCAAAAGCCACGACATTTTTTTTTTAAGAGGTCTTCTCCCCAGGAATAAAACTGTCAAGCCACGATTGAATTGGATGAACGCGGCATAAATATATATATAACTTTTGGCATTTGTATTCAGGAAACTCAGTTCAAGATAGCGACGAGGCAGGACGGGTGGAAAGGAGGGAGACCAGGTCAGGAAACAGACCCACCAAAATAAAAATAAATAAATAAATAAAACCAATTAATCCTTAATTTACAACAGTTTTTTTCAGTGACCGTCAGAAGTTGCAACAGCCCTGGAAATAGTGACTGATGGCTGTTTTCACACTTATGGCCATTGCAGCATTCCCCCATGGTCACATGATCAAAATTCAGACTCTCGGAAACTGACTCATATTTATGACGGTCGCAGTGTCCCGGGTTTATGCGATTCCCCGTTGGCGACCTTCTGACAAGTAAAGTCAATGGGGAAGTCTGATTCGCTTAACAACCCTGTTCCTAACTTAACAACTGCAGTGATTCACTTAACAACAGTGGCAACAAAGGTTGTAAAATGGGGCACACTCACTTAACAAATTTCTCACTTAGCAAGCCATATTCACTTAACGGCCTAACACCTGCAGTGATTCGCTTAACAACCCTGGCAAAAAGGTTGCAAAATTGTGTGGATCACATGAAAGCAATGGAAATGTTAGCTCAATGTTGGTTGTAAATCGAGGACTACCTGTAAATCCCTTGATTAAAGGCAGCTGGCTGCAGCCTGATTTAATAGTTCCCTTTGTTCCTGAGCCATCTTCCCTTTACTGGAAACAAGATCAGATCTCCAGCTCTTGTGTGATATTTCTCTGGTTTCCATTTGTGAAATGCTGACATTTGGACCGGCTAGGAACCCTGACCAGGATCTCAGAACTTGGGACTGGTTTTTGATTATTCTTCCATGTGCATCTATTAAACATATAGCCATTTATTGTAAGCCTCTTTCAGACAACCTTAACATAAAATGTTAAAGCTTAACATAACATTTTTTAAAAGCATTTTTAACTGGTTTGTCATTTTAAATTGGGGCCAAATTAATATATATCCTTTTAATTGTTTTTAATGTTTGTATTGTATGTTTTTAGCTGGCTGTACACCGCCCTGAGTCCCTCGGGAGAAGGTGCGGTATATAAATTCTAAATTAAAAAAAAAACAAAACTATTTTGCATTCGTTGTCTGTGGCAATTTCCCAATTCTGGGAGGTGAAGTGATTTTGTGATTTTTAATTTTGGGGCCAAATTTATATATATTTTAATTGTTTTTTAATATTTGTATTTCATGTTCTTCATTCTGGCTGTACACCGCCCTGAGTCCTCAGGGAGAAGGGCGGTATATAAATTGGAAATAAAATAAAAAAAATAAAATAAAAGTCCACACATTTGAAATTTGCTAAGGTTGAGAAACATTGGCTCAGGCTTTTAATAGCGGTATGCCTGAAATTCAATCCTAAATACCTCCCGCAAACGAGAAAATGTACCAAACAGGAGCATGAGAAATGTGTTGTATCAATCCTTATCGCCACTAATGAAAAGAGAGAGAGAGAAAAAGTGTGTGTGTGTGTGTGAGAGAGAGACAGACAGACAGAGACAGAGAAAAACAGAGAGTGAGAGAAAGAGAGAGAGAGAGAGAGAGAGAGAGAGAGAGAGAGAGAGAGAGAGACCTTGAAAAA